TGTCCTCAGGTGGCAGAGGAATTGAAGAGCAGGCCCTACTCTCTAGTCCTTTCATGACAGTCCTAATCCAATCCACGACGCTTCACCTTCAGGACTTAATCATCTCCTGAAAGCTCCACCTCCTAATCCTATCACATTGGTAATTAAGTTTCAACACTAGATTTGGGGGATATATTCAGATCATTGTACCCCACAGTGGGCATGTCAGTCAGTATTGCTAGTGTCCTGAGGGGACTGGAGCTGGACAGCAGGGGGAATGTTGGGCTTCGGAGCTGGGACTGGACCCAATGCTTTCCACTGCACAGCCCACACCTGCTCCCTCCCCTCAGCCACCTAAGGGGAGCTCTGGCACCTGCCCACAGCTATCCAGGGGGCCAGGGTTCTAGTTTGCTTTTTCTGCTCTAAATCGTCTGAGAGAGGGAAAGTAGAGGGCAGGGAGTTATCGCCAGACAGCCTGGTGCAGGCAGTGAGGACCAAGAGATGCAGGGAAGAGACCACCAGGCTGAGGAGCACATCTGCAAGGCAGGCTGTCCCTAGGGGCAGGATCACCAGGGAATCAGGCGTAGCCTACCTCACTCCTTTCTACTGGACTCAGGCCCACCTCACTACTTTCTACTGGCCCAGATGCCACACCTGGGGCTCTTCCTCCAGGAATCTCACGCTTAGTGAAAATGCCTGGTAAAGCAAAGAGCCAGGACAACAGAAAAAACTCCTGGGGGATTCCACACAATAAAAGGCACCAACTTTCTTCTTATTGGTCTTTGAATCCAAATTACTCTCGCTGAGTTATGCTGAAATGTAGAATTTCGTGTATCCAAAGGAATTCATTACTGAAAGGATTTGTTCAAAATATAATGAAGGTAACCATCATGGGCTATGTTTTGAAGAAGATTTTCTGATATTCCAAGTGAAGATTTTTTTTTTAAGTAATGTGACATACATTTCCAGTTGTAATATGGTACCTATTTTTAAAATCCCTACAAAACTCACAAGAGATGAACCACATGTATTTTTTCCCCTAAACTTAGTGCCACAATTTAAAAGACAGTTTATTTTCCTAAGGTAATTTAAGCCTTGGCTAAGCGACAGTTTCTACTGAAGCATGAAGCCATGTAGAAAATGCCTACAGAACTAACTGCTCAAAAGGACTTCCTACTGAGGATATCATAGGCCCACCCAGCTTTTCATGGAGAGGGCCTTCCAGAAACTTGATTATAGCAAATAGGCAGCTGATGTCTGAGTGCATCAAGGCCTTTGTCTCGTCTTTCAAGTCTATTAGGTCCACCTTGTCTTCTTAGTGGCTAGACTGACCCAGGCAAAGAGCCCTCCTATACCATGGCCAGGCAGACTTGCCTCTGCTTCATAATCAGGGCAAAGACACACTTCTATACCATGATCAAGCCAAGGACATGCCTCTGCACCATAAGCAGGGGGCTGATGCCTTAGTGATTGGCCCAGGCAGACATGCCCCCGCAGCATAATCAGGCTGATGCTCTGGTGACTGGCCAGGGCATAATCAGGTTCATTCCCTGGTTATTGGTCTAGGTAGACACACCCCCGCAGCATAATCAGGCTGATTCCTTGGTGATCGGCCAAGGAAGACACACCCCCACGGAATAATCAGGCAGATTACCTGGTTATTCGCCCAGGTGGACATGCTCCTGCAGCACAATCAGGCTGATTTCCTGGTGACTGGCCCAAGCAGACACCCTCCTGCAGCCTAATCACAGCAGACAGCCCCTGCAGCATGATGGGGCTGCTTCCCCTGGTAATCTACCACTCACTTTTGCAATTTAACTTGCTAAATACCTCCTTGGGCTCAGCTGTCGCTTTGAAAGCATGTGAAAAAGAATAATGATGAATTAACAAGCCCTCCCTACAGACAGCTTCCTTTTCTATAGAGCTCAAGGTGACTTCCACAACCTAACATACCCTAATAGAAAATACTTTCAGAAAGAAAAGAAAGTCAAGGGTTATATTTTCATCTACAGCTTAAGAACAGAAATAAAGTACTAAGTGAGCAAAATGAACACCTACAAGAAGGAAGACTACAGCAGCAAGTTTCTCTGAATCTAGTCAACGGAGCAATGACACTATAAGGCCACCTTCCCAGGGTAATTCAGGTTGGGTGAAGATAAAAGAGGAGATGGAAGGAGTGCAAAATGAATGGAAACTAGGTCTCCAAGACTGTTCTTTCAGGACAGAAGATCTATTTTATTTTCATTTTTGTGACTGGCATAATATTGAGCAGAAACCCTAAGGAAGAGCCCATTTCTGGATCAGAATTAGGCTCGGCCTGTCCTTCTGCTCTATACATCCAGTCCAACATTGTCCTCCTCTGGTCTGCCTTCCCTTCAGGTTAAGTATTATTTCTAATCATTTTGTCTTATCCTGCCTAACTTGTTTCAGAATATCAAAGCGGCACATCAACCAACCGCTATCCCTGCACATCATATGAGCCAGCATCCCAGCATGATTTTAAGTTTCTCATTTACAGGATTACCTTGTGCATTTTTTTATACTCTTCAAGTCTTCTGCATGCTCTGCTCTGTCAAAGTACAGTTAATTGTGTATATGGTATGTAGTAGATATGATCATTTTCAAAGACAGACTTTCAGTATCAAAGTTCCTACTCCCAATTGTGCAGCTAGTAAAAGTTAAAGTAAGTATACGCATGTGCACACATGCACACACAAATCATATGCTAAAAAACAGGATTTGTCAAGTCAAAAAAAAAAGAAGTCAAAAAGTAATAAAGAAAGAAAAGAAAGCCATTTAGATAAGTTCTGTAGAACTGAACTCTCTCTGAAGTACTAGCTCCTGGCTAGTTGTTCACCTTCTATGAGTTTCTATGATTAGCAACTTACTTAATCTGACACCTGCTCGCTTATAAGGCCAAATGAAGACACTACATTGATGGGATCACCAAGAAGAGTCCATAAAACAGAGTCACTAGCACTCCAGCCAAACTACCAGACTAGCTAGATAAAACATTTTTTTTTTTTTTAAGAATTGCAGTAGAACATATTTCAAGTATATCTTAGGATATAGAACAAAAAGTATAGAAGGAAAACCATGTGAAAGGCTTGGGGGCATATGGAAGAAATAGGACACATGCGTGCCTCATACATCATGAGTGGTTTGTATATTAAGTCAGAAGAGGTGCTTGGTCACAGAGTAACTTTACATACAAACCTTAGCTATATTAGCAAAAAAAAAAAAAAAAAAAAAAAAAAAAACACTCGTATGACTAAAATCAGAAATGCAAGAGGCAACATTATAACCAGTGCCACAAAAAAAAATTAAAGAATACCATTTGTTGGATTATCCTTTGACAATAAATTGGATAAACTAAAAGAAATGAAAGAATTCCTAGAAACACACACCCTACCAAAACCGAATCATGAAGACAGAGATTCCCTGATGATTTTGGGAAGGGGAGAAAATAAAGACAAAGAAAATCTTAACACACCTGTAAGTAGTAAGGAGACTCAATCAGTAATAAAAGAAAACCTCTCCACAAAGGAAAGCCCAGGACCACATGGCTTCACTGGAGAATTCTACCAAACATTTAAAACACTACTGAACTGTACACTTAAAAATAGGTAAGATGGAGGCCGGGCGCGGTGGCTCAAGCCTGTAATCCCAGCACTTTGGGAGGCCGAGGCGGGTGGATCATGAGGTCAAGAGATCGAGACCATCCTGGTCAACACGGTGAAACCCCGTCTCTACTAAAAATACAAAAAATTAGCTGGGCATGGTGGTGCGTGCCTGTAATCCCAGCTACTCAGGAGGCTGAGGAAGGAGAATTGCCTGAACCCAGGAGGTGGAGGTTGCGGTGGGCCGAGATCGTGCCATTGCACTCCAGCCTGGGTAACTTGAGTGAAACTCCGTCTCAAAAAAAAAAAAAAAAAAAAAAAAGGTAAGATGGTAAATTTTAGTGTGTGTGTCTGTGTGTATGTGCTTCCTACCACAATTGAATTTTTATATAGTAACTGTATAGATGTGTTCACCAAGACTTGTCAGGGTAACTTCATGTGCAAATGGTACAGACACTAGATGCAGAAAACTGAATATCACGGTGCTTGTACCCATGCCTGAGATTCACAAACACTACCATTTGCAGTGAATGCAGACAGAGTGATTACAAAGGGTGTGTGTTTGCATGTGTGTGTGTACTTCCCAGGAATAGTATATCCATATGTTTGGACATATGTATAAATAACATACATTTCAAAAGTATGTATGCTTCATATTAATATCATTTTAAATCCAAGATTACTCACATAACTGCTGTTTTTTTTTTCTCGCCTAGCACCAGAAATTCTAAAGACAGAGTATTCCTCCTGTTATCCCAGAAGAATCTTTAAATAGTCTATTTTCAAGGTCTGTAATCTAGAACATTCTTGAACAAGGAGCAGTGGGCAAGCCTGTTCTGACTGAATGTCAGTTAACAAGCCCGGAGGGAACAAAGCTGTCTTTCCTTTCAGAAGAAAACTGGACACAAATAAAGAAAGGGCTAAATGGCATACAAACACACAGGCTAAAAATGAATTAGGCTTTTTACTTGTTTTTTAAATTAAGTGTCTTTGGGGAGATTTAGCTCCTTATCAATTTGTTTAAATTTGAATAGTTGCTGAAATATTAATCTTATACCTGATTTTGAAAAGAAAAAGGCAAAACTATTAAGTTAAACTTTGAAGCCATTCTGTCACTAACATAATCTTTATAGATAGTAATATAAACAATACTCAAATGTTTTTGGAACCCAGAAATCACTGAAACTAATGCATATTATTTTAAGAAGCTTTTAAAGAGAAATTTGAATCACAGCATCCCACAGCATCAGCCAAACTCAGGAGCATGAAGAAGGGACTTAGTTTCAAGACTAAAGAAAAGAGGACAAACTCAGCATGCCCTACGCTAGACTATAAAGGTGATTTACAAAACCACTGCTAATATTCACAAATTTAATCCTTCAAACAGCGAGGCAACCGCACCTGGCATGAGCGCAGCCATGGGGAACACTTCCTTTAACTTCGTTTGGCTTTCTTCCACCAGCTCCTCTTTGGACATCGGGAGCTGCAAGACGTCTATTATAATCTGTGCCGCCTCTAATGCCTTCTTACCCATAACCAGGGACTTTACATCCCAGCTGTATTTCTTGTCATAGCGATCACATATTTCTTGAAACACCACTGAATAGAGCCGTTCAGTATCTGCAGAAAAAAAAAAAAAAAGACAGAGATTTTTAGAGTGCATACTGTATCAACAGTAAGTCTGTATCAGGTTCACAATAACATCCACTGTGTAGGTTGCATTCCACGAACAAAGGCTTTGTGGAGACCTAAGTGCGCAGGGGAAAGGTTTGCAGGTCATTCTCACTAAATTATACTGTGGGCAGCCTCCTCTCAAGGCTGCTGGAGTTATGTCTGGAGTCGTGATCTGGATGGAAATTTAGAACTCAGGAGAGAAATGAAATCTGTATTATTGTGTTTTCTGTTTAAATGTGCATATTTGAATTTAAATATATACTTAGAATGGTCAATTCCAGCCGATAGCACAAGGCATCATTACTTGGTGTTCCACTGCATGGCTCACTAGAATTAAGGACATTTCCACTGCCCAGTGGGATGAGCCCCCACCATGCCTGGCCAGGATGCTGCTTTGAAGCTCCCAGGGGAGAACAGAACATTTAACACACAGGCTGTGTCACGGGATGGTGAAAGTTGACCTGAGGATTAACTCCCAGCTTGGCACTTACTCGGGGCACAGCCTCAGAAATATAGGGGCCCTGCAGGGGCCTGCTTTCCTCATGCTGACACAAGGTGAACAGGAACACTGTTCATAATAGTACCAGTACCACTAACATAGGCGACATTGCACTACATTTCTACTCATGTGCTTTTTCTGTATATATATTTAATATACACATAGTATTAATAGCACTCATATTACCAATACGAATACTACTGATGGCGCTACTCCAGTGAAATAATCCTACTTTGCAGACTGAATACTTCAGGGCACACAAGTAACCTTCTCAAAACAGTGCCAGCCTCCTAGGGCGTGCTTGTGACACACTAGCTGTCTTCTCTACTCTGTCTCCAGCATGGGCGTAGAAAGATCACTTTACTGAAGAACCAACTAACTGACCTGCTAGGAGGCATTATACATGATAAAAAGAAATACTCCAACACTGAGGAGTGTCTACCAAGTACAATTTCAAAACCAGGTAAGCTCCATGGAGCTGAGAGTTGCCTGGTGACAATCCTCCCAAGTCCCCAGTGAAGGCAGAAGACTGTGTGCCAAAGCCTGGGCAGAGGCCTTGTCTTCCAGTCTGCGGTGGCACAGAGGCAGTCCCTGAACCTGAGAGGCTGGGAATAAACCTGTCCATACCTGGTTTAAAAAGAAGACACAGACCCGTCTGACAAAAATCTGGATTCAAATTCCGCTAGGAGACTGACCACCTGTTGTAGATTTAGCACTGAATCTTTCCCATGGGGCATGGAGCAGCAGTAGCAGGACGTATTCTACCCTGAATTTGCACGACTAGATTCAACAGTAAGTCCTGAAAAGAGCTGGCGACCACAATGACCTTTAACTGTCCCACAATGACATGAAAAACATAATCATCATCCCTACTTTTTCCCCCTATAAGATAGTATCTGTGATACCCAGGACACACTGAAGCAATGCACACACACAAAGAAGGCTGTGTGTGTCCAAGAGGCATGTAAGTCTTCATACTCCTATGTGTGTTCACATGTTTACATGCACATAGGCATGCATGCTTGTCTGTAATTGCTTAGATGCATTTTGAAAGTTGGCAGGGTATGAACTGCTATTAAAAGAGAGTTATGGGCTGGGTGCGATGGCTCATGCCTGTAATTCCAGCATTTTGGGAGACCAAGGCAGGCGGATTGCATGAGCTCAGTAGTTCAAGACCAGCCTGGACAACATGGCAAAACCCCGTCTGTACTAAAAATACAAAAAACTACCCAGGTATGGTGGCACGTGCCTGTAATCCCAGCTATTCCGGAGGCTAAGGCAGGAGAATCGCTTGACCTGAGAGGCAGAGGTGGCAGTGGGCCAAGATTACATCACTGCACTCCAGCCTGGGAAACATGAGTGAGATTATGTCTTCAAAAAAAGAAAAAAAAAAAAGAGTTATGGCAGATTTTAACTCCAAAATATGTGGTCCTCCCAGACAGGCATGTGGAGGACCACCTGCACCACAGGACAGGATTCGGTGTGTTGCACATGGAGAAGGCCGCGACGGTACCGTTGCCGTGGCAACGGTAGGGCCACCTGTGCTTTGTCTCCTGATTCTTTCTCACAGAACGTGAATGGTCATCTGCATAGACACAGGGTCTGGGCAATCAACCATATCCACCAACTATTTGCAAAATTCCTGAATGAACCAAGGGTAGAGTGCTGCTATCTTGAGAAAAGAAGTTTTCTGTGTGGCCTTGTACACGGGTCCCTTCAGCAGTATCCAAACTGCACCTCTTGGCTGCACCTACAGTATCAGCTAGGACTCTTGCCGCCTTGTACTCAGAGGACTGGGCTTGTTGGTTGCTTTGGCTGCCATGCTGTGGACCTTGCCTCTGTGCACGCTTCTCTGCTGGTCCCAGGGCTCGCTGCACTTGCCTGCAGAAGTCTCTGGCTCTTCCTCCTTGGGATGGGTCTGTGGCTGGGCCCAGCCCGCCCTGTGGACACTGGGGTCCAGGTGAGGCTGGTTGCTGTGGAGTAGGCTCTTCCTTGGGCTTTTGGGTGGCCCCTGCCCTGCACTCCCCATCCGCCTTGCTCCCTCTGTGCACTGACCCCTCTGTGGCCCTCTTTCCTACAGCAGACCCTGGGCTTTCTGCCTCTTGATGGATGCTCTGGCTTTGACTGCTACCAGCAACAAGAAAAGCCCTTCTCTATTCTTTCTCTGCTTTTCTAGGCAAATCCACCCACGGCTGCATGTCAGGCGCCATTTCATTTTCAGCACTATAATATTTTTCCCTTGCTTTTCTACCATGAGCTGTATTTTATTTTTTTTTTTTTAGTAGACATGGAAGGACTTGCCCTGTGGCCCAGGCTGGTCTCAAACCCGTGGCCTCAAGTGATCCTCCAGTCTCGGTCTCCCAGTGTTGGGAATAAGGCATGAACCACTGCGCCTGGACACGAGCTGTATCTCATTAAGTTTGCTGTACAACACACCAAACAAACCTCAGAACCTCCAACCGGTCTGGATACTGGAGATTGCAAAAGCACGATCCCTGAGTGGAGGGGTCAAATCCCTTTGGGGTAGTACAAAAGATAGGACTCTCACAAAAGTTCCTGGGCTGGTTTGTAGAAGTAGAAGTTCAAGTGAAAACCTGAGTAACAAGGCTTCCTGGATCCCATCCTGCACTATGTCTCCCTACAGAAGCTGTAGAACAGAAGGAAGGGCTGGCCCACCCTCCTCCTCAGCAGCTGAGTGGTGAAAATCCTCCTCTAAAGGAGGGTTACCCACGCATGAGTGCTCCATTTATTTTCTTCTTCCCTCTGAGGGGGAGAAAGTGCCAGGGCTCTCAGGGCAAGGAGATGGACAGATTGGCAGTGAGGCGGCACGTTCTACTTCCTTGAGTGTTTGTTCCAGTAGTTGAGAGAGGAAAACTGACAAAAGGAAACTGCAGGCATCAAACAAATGAGACACCGCTATCGGGTTGAAAAGCCACGTGAAGGAACAGAGGCCAGGCAGGACCATGGAGGTGCTCCACAGAACTGGAGCTAAGGCAAGTGTAAGAGGAGGAAGAAAGGAGTGTGGACAAAAGCAGAAAAACAGCTGTATCCTCTAAAAATGCCTTCAACAATGTTTATTTAAAGCTTAAAATGTCATGGAGCTTTTAATTTAAAAGATACAGAACTGTGGGATTATAAATCTGTAGGGGACTGTGCAGACAGACACTTTTCTTCACCATTTAGATAAAATCATCCTAAATCCGTGGAATAAGCAAGGATCTAAACAAGCAATTAAACTCCTCAGGTCAAATGACGACTATAGCCGTTGATGATGGCACACTTAAAGGGACAGCACTGTGAAATGAAAAACGCTGAAATAAAGGAGCGTAAAACAGTTGCACCAGGCCATCAGATGCATCTTCTTCCCCGCTTACTAACAAGATTCCAGCTTTTAACATTGCTTCAATGTCCTTTCTACCAGGAAAGGTCATACTGTTTTTAACATGCTAGAGCCCCACACATGACTACCTTCCTTAGGTGAGTTAGAAAATATCCCTTGTGACTGTGACCACTCCCCTCCCCCTAGCTGGAATCTGTGTGGCAGTTGAGAACAGCTTCCATAGCAGCTGCAAGGACAGCATGGGGAGAGGAGCAGCCTGGCCACAAGGGAGAAGCTCTGAAGAAGCTACAGGGTACTCCAGGCTGGGGCACAAAAGCTGGTGTGTGTTTTCATCCTCAGAGGCAGCCTGAGTTCCTGGGATGCATGGGAGGCACTGCGCCTTAAGTTAATTCAACTGTTATGGAAGCGCTGCGCCTGGAGGAAGCCTAGACCAATGGCTTAGTTTCTAAGACGGAAGTTGAGTAATTGCAACAAATCAAGTAACATCTTTTATAATTAAAAGTGTAACTTAAATGCTTGCTAAGTCCACCCGAGGCACAGTGGTCGATGTTTTACCCAACAAAGATATAAAAAGTGAGGGTTTCTCCCCCACTGCTCTCTCAGTGAAGCTGTACCTGCTTGCCATGCAAATGGGGGACCTATCTTCAATTTTATAAACCTGAGTTGCATTATTTAAGGGCAAAACACCTCAAGCTGTCATTAAGACACATATATGGTGATATGATTTGGCTGTGTCCCCAGCTAAATCTCATCTCGAGCTGTAATTCCCAAGCATAGAGGAAGGGAAGTGATTGGATCATTGCGGTGGTTTCCCCCATGCTGTTCTCCTGATAGAGTTCTCACGAGATCTGATGGTTTTATGTGTTTGTTTGCAAGTTCCTCCTTCGCCCCTCTTTCTCCTGCTGCCTTGCAAGAAAGGTGCCTGCTTCCCCTTCTGCCATGATTGTAAGTTTCTTGAGGCCTCCCCAGCCATGTGGAACTGTGAGTCAATTAAACCTCTTTCCTCTATAGAGTACCCAGTCTCAGGGAAGTTCTTTGTGAAAGCAGTGTGAGAACGGACTAACATTAATACATATGGGAAGACCTGATTTTGCTCCCACCCCCATG